TTATGATAATATCAGCCAACTAGTTTACAAGAATCCGGAAATCCTTGATATCCTTCAGGATGATGCCAAGAATAATGCCGATGACAGAAAATACATCGCCGTGTTTGTCAGCAGTGAAGGAAGTGTTCCCCGAAGAATGGAATGTAAGTATTTGACAATGTTTTTTGGTGCTCTCGAAAAAATTGTATTATTTACAGATTGTGATTCTTATTTCTAGCACGTAATTCTTGGTCACGTGCAAAGAAACCAGTAATGGAAATTGGTGATCTCAGCGAGAAGGAATCAATGGATTATCTGGTCAACAAGCGCAAAATTAGCTCTTCAGAAGCAAATAAAATCTATGAATTAGTTGGTGGTCGTATCGTAGAGCTGAAGGCTGTGGCGGATGATTTTCTGGATGGAAAGTCCTTCAAAGGTAATAATGATTTATATTTTGCATCAATCAAATTTGCATTTTTCTACTTTGGATTAATTGCTTTTCCCTTTTTCTGTAGTCATTAAATGGCAAATCTTAACTGAAGTCGAGAAGAAATTTAAAAATGCACAACTCTATGAAAATCAACCATACCATGAAGTGGGAAAGCGTGTCATCAATTCTTTATTAAAATCCAAAGAGCTTAGCTATATAACATATATGAAATTTTTCAATAGGGCAGAGGAATCTGATAAAATGTTGGAATACAATGTATTTGCATATCATCCAGAAAAAAACACTGTGACGTTTCAGTCTCAGTCAGTAGAATACTATATCCGAGAAAATGCTAATATGTTCCTTAAATAAGGCCATTAACATTTTTTAAAAAAATATAGGTATACTTAATGTCATTAATGCCTTTTATTGCTAATTAAAAGCTCATGATGTTATAAATTTATGATTTTTCAATACAATTGAGTAGCGAGTTGGTATTCACTTACACCCCTACGTGAATCAGTGATCTAATTCGGAAGAATTGTTGTACATTGGGGATTTTGATTTTTATACTCAAATCTTGAAGCCTAATAGCTTAATCTAGCCTAATGTTATTAGGAGTATTTATCTGGTTGTTGATCCAATAAAGATCGAAAAAAGAATGCAAATATATACATGATTCAGGGACAATGATTTTCTGTGATTCACATAATTTCACAGATAATACAAAATTCACCGCAGAATTTTCTTTTTTTGGAATAATGTTGTATGACAACTTTCTATTTAGAGAAGCTCAATCATCTGAACCCATTTAAGTTTAGAGATCCCTGCATATAGTCGCACAAGATGTAGACATTCTATTACTATATATAGTTGTATCACAATTAATCTTGTGGAACAAAGGTCGTTATATACTATATTTATTATAGTATATAGCAATAAAGCTTTCCTTATTGTATATGGCTTTCTGATAAGAACAACTATGAATGAGACTCAAAAAGGTTATGAAGGAGGAGAGTTTATTGTTCTTTATCAGTAATAATATCAAATTCATATGTTACGGAACTTGAGATCTGAGATCGCCAAAATCTGTCTTATTTTTTATTCTACAAAAGCGATCGCCAAACTGGAAGGTTTAATTTCCCCATAAAAGGCGAAACATATTTAGTTCTTGACACCCATGACTTAATAGACCTGCCTTACGAAGAAAGATCCGAGAAATGGTTGGGGTAACGTAATTACTAATCATGTATTTTTTTCTTCTAACAGGTTCTCAGATTTAGCGAATGAAATCATATAAATAAACCGGATTTGTGAGGTGGGTTAGCAATAACATCGCTATTATATATTTATTTATTTTTCAAAAAATACTCGCAACTTATTTCTAAGGTAATGTAGATTGGGCATTTACGTTACAAAAAAGAAAGTGATATTCTACTAATTATGAATTTTATATTTAGAAGCGCAAAATGAGTAATACCAATAATTCTAATGCTCCCAATGTTAGCGATTCTAATGCTCCCAGTGTTAGCGATTCTAATACTAACAATACTAATAACTCAACATCGTTCAAACAAAAATCTTCTAGACCAAAATCATCTAAAACCAATCGCAAAAATAAGAAAGATAGTTTTGGTAAGTGTCTTCGTTAAAAAATGCTCTTCATATATTAGTGAAATTAGCAAGACTAACTCTCATTTTACCTGTGTATTCTATGCATTAAATCAGATAATTTGACGACCTATAATCCCTCCTTAGAAGACGATGACTATAACGTTGATAATGGTAGACACTGGGAAAATCTTTCGAGAGAAAAATTAGAAGAAGATAGAGAAAATGACTACAATGGTATGATTAATCCTGGTAAACTGAACGACATGTTAGATCAAATGTGAAACTCCACCAATATATATATATATATTTATTTATTTATATATCGTTGTTTTAGCAACGTTTTTATATCAATAAAATAAGATCCTATGAGATCATAATTTTTGATGTCGTTAATGCGAGTTACAATCACTTTTGCAAAAAATTAAAGTCGTTTGTCCATATTAATATATACATAAGATATGTCTCGTAAATCTAAAAATAGCAGACGAAAACCTAATCATTTTTATGTATTCTTTGATGGAACTCGCTATGTTATGTCTGGCTAAAAATTTGTACGAATTGGCTATGGATTTCTTCCCATTCTTTCATCAGATCGTCTAGCCATGCAGTACTTAAACCACTCTTTAGAATACTGCGACGTAATAACTCTTCTCCGATTAGCCTATCCCGATCTGTTAAAAATTTTCGATATTTTCTAGGATCTTCCTTACTCTCTATTCCACCACGATAGAAGCGTACATCTCTTTCTAGGTCATCGCGAAAACATCCCATGATCCACCTATCTTTCTCAGCCTTAGTAATAACCGAAAATTTTTCGGGATCGAGGTCATTATCAACAGCATATTGATAAAGACATTCCATCTTATTTGGATTAGTCCTAGGAATCGGTGTATTATTAGGTAAATTTTTTCCGGGACATAATGTCTCGGAAATTTCTGTCACATAATCCGTTTCGGGAGGTATTTTTTCCAAAGATATTCCATAATCTATAATCTCTTGAATTTGCTCATTAGTAAGCTCTGAAATAGAAGTTGCACTGTAGGATTTAATATATCTGATTTTATCTATGTCCACTTGTTCGAAAAATTTATATACTTTCTCAGCTCTCTGAGTTTTCTTGCGTAAACTATCTCGTGATATATCTCGAAGTTGTAACCCTAATTCTTGAGATCTTTGTTTGCGAATTAAATTAAGCTGTTTTGTAATTGAATCATACAGCAAACTTCTTGCCTTCTTTTCACCGAATTTACCTTCACTATTTTCTATAATTCCATTGAGCTGAATTCTGAAATCCTTCGCATAGAGATACCAACATAAAATTTCTTCCTGATTAGCTCTATTTGCTTTATCTTCAGCATCAAAAGCTTTATTACATAACTGGGCTAAATGTTGAGAGGCCTCATCAATGCTAGATATGTTATCAAAGGTAATTTTTCCAGGACATAATGTCTCAGAAATTTCGTTCACAAGATTTTGTTCTATTGATGGTTCCTGTGATGTTTCCGAGACGAACAATTCATTTTTAAGCTTGTCTAATCCCTCACCTTTTTTATGTTCTACTCCCGTTTTCTTATGTATCTTACCAGTTTCGTCTTGGGAAATAATTTCATTACTATCTGAATGAGAGGATTCCGGAATATTTGTAGCTGATGCTTCGGATGTTGCACTATTGCATGGTTGAGTAACCAAGTTGAGATCTTGAGCTTGAAGTTTCTTTTCCTTATTTTCTGATGACTTGTTGTTGGTATTATCATTAGGTACATTATCACAGGTAACTGCTCGTCCAACTTTATTATTGAGATTCTCTACTACGGAATCGGATACATCAACAACTGATACCGTTATTTCTGGAATATCATTATTCTGTGACTGTCCAGTTACCCCAGTAACACCCTGTTCCAATATCGCGAGTCTGGCCTCAAGCTCTGTATTCTTTTGCTCTAGTTCCTCAACTCTAACATCGCGCTTTGTATTCTCCTCAATAATCTGCTTCAACTTTGCATTCTCCTTTCTAAGCTTGGCAATCTCGGCTACAAGTTTGGAATTTAACTCCTTCAATGAATCGTTTTTGGATTGAGTGTTCGACATTACTTTATATAAAAAGCGCATTCATTCAAATTGTGCAAGGTACAAAGTTAAATTCATGTGATTAAATTTTGCGGGACATAATGTCTCAGAAAAATGCCAAGAAAAAAATTTTGAATGTTGCCTCAATACTTTGATATAATACGTCACATAAGGTATGTCTCGCAAATCTAAAAAATAACAGTCGAAAAACTCAAGGTAGATTCAGCAATAATCCTAAACAGTATATGCAATTTTTAAACCGGGATAACTATCATAAATAAGAATACGCAAGATGTGAAAGTGATATTTGACTATGAAGAGGTGTGTAAATATCTAGAGGTGAATAATTCAGATGGAACTATTCTCAACGGAGCTGGCAAGGCCACTACGTACAGCAATTAATTAGCTTATTTTTTTCAGATATTTATATGTATAGCTTTATTAACTAAAAATCGAAGAAATATAAGAGAAATAAATATAAAACCAAACCTATGGGGTAGACACCGTCGTTCTTATATCATCAGAATCATAGACATCTATATTTATTTCCACTTAATAACATTACATATAATAAGTCACATGATACAAAAACTGTGAACATTGGAATAAATTCCAGAAATATATATGCAAAAGTAAACGCAATTATATATGCGAAATTGAGCCACTAGAGTCAGCTTTATTGATACTGAAAAAAATAAAAGCATATTACAGGATAGAATATAAAAATACACAGAGTTAATTTTCTTAGTCTAAGGTCACTTTAGAACCATCACACCTGAACTGGATTGATCAGCAGTCTTGGAAATTTTCGTTATTTTTGTGTTCAACCCGTAAAGAATAAATTTTGAATTATCATAAGGCTCAACCCACGAATTAAAATGTGATATAAAAAGTAACATAACTATATTATCTACTTTTTCGTTTTTTGTTTTTTCATATCTTTTTTATTCATTCTTTTCTCTGACGATTCCCCACTTTCATTGTCTCCCAACATCGTATCACTAGATCGTTTCAAATCATACTGTCCTGAACCCACGTTGATCTCTAGTGCATATTGGGTTATATTATTAATCCATTTCGGAATTTTCTGACAATTTTGGTCTTTGGCTGTCTTGTATTTTTGAGGGAGAAATTTTTCAAAGATGTCCGATGGCATGACAAAGTATAGATTAATTTCATTCATGTCATTTTTCCACGAGAGGAAATGGTTAAGGTCATTAAGTCCTTTTATCTATACAACTTGAGTTAGTGATAGCGACAAATTATAAATTCAATTATGTCTATTGTCCCCTACCTTTATGCCGTGATTCGTTGAGATAGTAATTTGGTACAAGGCCAAGGCATTGTTATCGAGGCTAAAAGAATCAATTGATGCAAACGTCTTTGATTTTGGTCTGTTATAATATTCTTTACGTGCTTCATTCAGCATCATGAACCAATTACACTCCAGATTCTCAATACATTTTTCAGTGATCTCTGAGTTATCATTATTCAGGCACCGTATCCTAAATGTACCACCCCTTTTCAACTCTAAATGGGCAAAATCTTCAAATAGGTTTCCCTGAAATCCAGCGATCTTTGGAAATTCATGACTACTTGTGATTAAATCGCGAACGTTATTCCTAGTTTTGCTTTCATATTCCTGAATAATTTTATCAGATACCCTCGGAGAAGCAAAACGATACACTACATTCGTAAATGTTGGATCTACCTCAAGATATACAAGTCCACCGCTAATGGCATCTGTGGGCATTCCTGACTTATCAATAGAGTTTATACAACTTTCTAAGTTTGCTTCATTGATCAGTGTTTGGTATTTCTGTTGATATGTTTTATCGTTCCACTTTAAAAGAACAGACCTGGGTATGGGTCCCCACTTTTCCAGAAGGGTCCCAAGTAATTCAAGCGTGAACTCTTTGCCTTCATTGTTTTTCTTATTCTTGTATTGAAGGGCCCAAAGTGTGGTAATTTCATCGTGTTCCCAAATTGGCATATAGTATTGAGTAAAACCTGGCCATTTGACAGCCTTGTTGAATCTTTCTGTTTTTGGCGATGTAAACAGAATCATATAGGCCTTATATGAAAACGTCAAAGCTTGTGCGTCAACAAGAAAAAAGTTATTACAGTTATCCAGTGTCTTGTCAAACTGGTCAATATTCCCTTTTTGCATATTACCATTTGGTGAGAATCGATAACAAATTTTTTCATTACATTGCCAGACTATTATGGCATCAGGGTAACTGTAGCGAATGTAAAAGAGAAGGTATAAACCAAAATACGTCTTTCCAATACCGGGTGTGCCAGTAATCGCACAACCTCTTTTGGCTGGGCCATCTTGCTTTCTATTCTTCTCAATTAAATCGAGTAATTGCAAATAACAGTTCCGTATCAGAAGCTTCAATCCATAATCCTCATCTCCAAGAAAGTACACACTGTCTGGTAAGCATAACATTCCTCCACAGGCATCAGTCAGAATTGATGGTAATCGTACATCAGTACACTCTCCATTGCTGTATAGCATACCATCTGAATCGGTAATTACACCTTTATTTAGACAGACATGATTATTTTCGATTGTATAATAAGATTCTAAACCATCTAATTCAGCTCCTTCCATATCTTGTGGTATCGGGAAGACTATTTTTGCATCGAGAAGTTTTTTCCAAAATTCAACAACTCCAGGTCCAGCTGTGGGAATGATAAAATGGGAAAGATAAAGGAAAGGTTAGTCATTTCTATATTTCTCCAGCACAAGAATATAATGCCTTTTGTAAATAGGGTTGCATAAATTAGCATACCTTGAAGCTTTTGTTCTATATAATAGGAATAAATGTATGAGGCACAATTTAACAAATGAAATTATTGCGAAGAAAACAGTATAGGTTTGAAATGTTTGAATGCAGTCATGGTACTTACCCTGCCCTTCTCCCTTAATATCTCTAACCAATCCTGCAATCGCTTCAGCCGGACCTCTTTTTAAGCCATCTTGCATTAGTTTGTTCACGTCCACCTCAAGGAAGGCACGACCAGCGACTCTATTTCTTTTAATTATATCGATGTTTTCATTGTCAAGATCCAACTCTTCTTTTTTGTCCTGTAAGAATTTAGTAACATCGTTCTGCTTCCATTTATTAACTTCTTCAACTGATGGAAGTGGAGTATTGGACATGACTATTTGTTTGAAATTAGAAAAAATTTTTATAGAGGAAATAGTCGTACTTTCACCTTTTTATAGTTTATACAAACAATCATTGCACAGCCCCATGATGTCACACGGCATATTAATTAATTATCTTGATCGATTAGGTAACAATAAGAAATACCACGTATATTTTCATGATTTTTGTTCCACAAGGATTATTTTCTCACCTATTTATTATAGCAACAAAGCCTTTTTCTTGCTTTCTCTGATAAGAAGTAATACAAATGAAACTTAAAAAGGATATGAATGAGGAGAGTTCATTACATTTAATCAGAAATAATATCGAAATTCATATGTTATGGAACTTGAAATCTCCGCCATCTCCGAGATCGTCAAAATTTGTCTTAATTTTTTATTCTACAAAAGCGATCGTCATTCTGAAAGGTTTAATTTCCCATAAATGACGAAATATATTCAGTTCTTGGCGCTTGTGATTCTAATAGAATTGCTTTATGGGGCAGAGATCTGGCAAATGGTTGGGGGTAACGTAATTACTAATCATGTAAATTTTTTTCTTTTAGCAGGTTCCAGATCAAGCGAATGAAACACTATAAATAAGCCAGATTTGTGAGGCTTCATTTCTTATCTTATCGAATTTTTTTTAAGGTACGCATTATGAATAAATTTTTGAGTCAGAAATATAGTTACAACTTCATGTATTAATTAATAGTTTTGTTTTTTCTTAGCAGTTACGATGTCAGAAAACAAAATTTTATATGTGGAAGGAGAAACAAAAGACCTTGATACTGGTCACGAGAACATCCGAGTAAAGATTGAAGTGTTAAATGAAGATGTCGCGAGGGTTTTTCTTGTAGATAAAAATGATATTCCAATTGACGATTTGGAAAATGTGGTTTTTATGAATGAAGTGACTAAAAATGAAATTACAACTGTGCTTGTTGAGGGTAGAAAAAGTTATCTCACAACTTGGATAAATAGCTATGAGTTATCTGTCGATGGTAGGAGAATTTTTAACTTAAAACAACGGAAAGAGCAAAGTAGTGTTGTGGTGTCATTGGCCCGCTATTTTCAAAAGAATTAATTTGCAGTATATAACTGCAATATGATTTTTTATTTTATGTTATTATTTTTGTAACATTTTTTATATATCAATAATAAAACGGGTCATATTGACTTATTTTAATTATGAATTACAATTACTTTTAGCGAAGTCATTTACACATATTAATATAGATATGTCAAATATGTCTCGCAAATCTAAAAATAACAGACGAAAAACTCAAAGTAGATTTACCGATAATCCTAAACAATATGCAATTTAAAAATCTGTCTAAGTATATGCATAGAATTGATGAAGATTTTATAACAATTATAAATAAGAACACTCAAGATGTGAAGGTGATATTTGATTATGGGCAAATCCCAGAGTCTAATGACTCATATTCTCAGCATGTAGTAGTGGTAGAAAATTATTGGATATGTAAATAATTAATCGATTTATTTTTTTTTCCAGAAAAATTAGTGATCGTTAATGTAAAAAGTAAATGCGAATTGACCTCCAGGTCAGTTTATTTATACGAAAATAAAAAAAGATACAGGATATACCTACATATATAAAAAAAATGATGATTAGTTTTGTTCGAATTCTTTGTAGCTTCTTTTCTGTAATTTAAATGGAGATGGTGATCTTGGTGGAGATGCAATAGTCGATGTTGTGGAAGTTTGTGACAAGTCTGATGTAATCGACATTGTTTTGACCGAATAATCAGAAGTATCCATTACTTTACATACTGTACATATTATTGCGCTTCTGAAAGTCAATAGTACGTGGATAATAGGATAGACATTCTCCAGTTCTGTGTGTGGGGTGGATAAGGGGATGGTTGCTCGTTCAAGCAGGGAATTTTTATATATTGATGATTCTTTATTCATGCAGCGTAATTCTAGCACCCTCCCAACGATATTAATTGTAAATATTGTCAACATTTCTTTCATCATCAATTTTCTGAACAATCTTTCATATTTAGGATTTCTCGTGAGATCAATAGAGTCCTTTGAAGTCTATTGAGTTTTTTATGATCTCGTTTTTGCTTATCATCGGAAGAATCTGGTCGACCGGTTTCAAGATATGCAAACTCCATAGACTTATTTTTAATTTGTACGACAACTCTGTAGTCGGGTCTTTTTGCAAGCTTATTCGAACCCTTGCGTTCTGCGCTGGCTAAACTTGCCTCATCCCCCCTTTTTAAATATGTTAGTGATTATACAAGACTTAATAAAAAATTATAAATTATACATACCAAGCACCCCATATAGTGTAATCTATAGGTAAATCACTCATTACAATATTCAGCAATGGTGATATAACCTCACATATGCACAAACCCTTGCTTATGTTGGGCTCTTTTGACAAGACATATAACTTCCACTTTGAGGACCCCCAGATTCAACTAAATGCTTCTAGCATCTGGTTTGTCAATTTATGTAATGTTTCGGGACATCTAAAAACTTACCAAAAGTTACTCCTTCAACCAATTTAGGGACTTTCTCAAAGTACTTCTTCTTTTCGCTTTGGACAAATTCTTCACAAATAGCTTTTAACTTAATATCTGTTGGTATTATAAACTTTCTACTTAAAGACCTAAAAATATTGCGCAACTCTTCTGACATATCCTTAAAAGGTTCAGAACTATCATCCAATATTCCTGAGCATAGTGGATGAGCGTGTCCCAAGTCTTTCACATTTACTTTACGCAATCCTTCCTCTACAGTCCTCCACATGGTCTTTTCGTCCCCAGATGTTGCTAATACATACTAAACTCCACATATTAATAAGATGTTAGAAAAAAGAACAAGCTTTACCCTAAAATACGAACCTTATGTACTTCATTCTTCAATGTCTCGAAGTTTTTCAATGCTTCAATTAGCCAAGATTCCTTCACATTTTGACTCTTTTTTCTATTGAAGAGGCAAGTTTTCTTCACGTTCTACAATAGTAAAGAATAAGCATTTGCAACAATACAGGTTTTCTTTGGAAACATTGAGTAAAAAGCATACCAAAGCGTTGAGCTCCAGTGAAGATCGGATATGATCAAATGCTTCTGACACCTAAAATACAGAACATTAATCAGCTGAAATTCAAACCGATTCAGTAATGATAAATATGTGCGCGCGATCAGATTGATTTTCTTTTTTCAAAATAAATTTTTTCAAAGAATAGGCTAGCCAATGATTAATACATAGCCTCAACAAAATTCATACTCGGTGTTTAATGTATATAAACAGCTACTGCCACGTCCGCGAAGTATTTATACTAAGAAGACGTTGGTACATTCACAGTCTATATACCACTTTATATTTCATCCATTGAGGTAATCGGAAAGTGACGAAAATGAATGTCTACCCCATGATACATGCTTGTGATTTCGTCACCCCCAAAGAAAACCAATAATTCATCACATCAAATATATTTTAAACTATCAATAATTATAATGACTTACTCTTTGCTCCAAAGTCTTGTCATTTCTGAAACTATGAAGTTTCCCCCATCTTTCTTCTTCATCCGGAGAAACCAGTTTCAAGGCAGTCTCAAGCACTCCAGCAAAATTCTCAATTTCTTCTTCGCGGTCATCTGTCCATTCACCTGCTTCAACCCGCTTATATAATGCAGTGAAAATGGTTATTGCTGAGATTGGTTTGAATTTAACTAAGAAAGATTCCATTTTTTTAATTGAGAAATTTTAGAATTTAAAGTATATAAAAAAACACAATTTGTCAATGATTACAATCATAACTCGAAATACTGCCCTTTTTAAACATTTTCCTTCCATGTCTCACTCTAGATCTATCGAATGGATAATGCAGAGATATAAGAAGTCTTTACGCCAAGATAAAGAAAAAGAATGCATATGAATGCTAATTAATCGAATTTGGTTAATTGCACAAATAAACATGCATGTGTTATTTATTATATACTCAGCCCCATTAAAATGTTGCACGACATATCCAATTATTTGATCGATTAGATTATTAGTGTTTGTACTCATAATAGGTTACTCATGAGTAATCCAGATACTCATGAGTAACATGAGTACCGTGAGTACTGTGAGTACTCATAGATCATGCTATTAATAGAAAGATCTGCACTCATGAGTACTCAAGTGTTACAAAGCAATATTGACCTATCATATTTAGGTATTTTATTATGATCGTTATTATTACATATTATATATTATTATTATTATTATGTAGATATTTACAGCGCAAACACAAAAGTTTTTAGAAGACAACCAGAAATAAAATTTTTATACAAATTTGATTTCGAGAACCAAACTATCAAGAAATAAACTGGAAACAAAACTTTTATATAAATTTTAATTTAAACCATATACAAAAATAATAAAATTTATTTCTTTTTTTATTGTTTATTTTCTCGACTCAATTTTTACTATATATATTAGGTATTTGTCATACATGAGTACTCAAGTACTCATGAGTATCCGGATTACTCATGAGTATCCGGATACTCATGCAGATCACTCAATGAGTACAAGTACTCATGAGTAACATCCCTATTTATCCTATTGGTTTTTTTTTGGTAGGACAGATGCGAATTGATTTTTTTTTTTTTTTTTTTTGAAAAACAATTTATTTTTTGATAGAGTCCAAGGTGACAAAACGTGAGTGTTGTTGTTCGGTTCTCCTAAAGAAAACGTGTTAATAACTAACCAGAGGTACTATTTTTTATTTGTATTGATTGATATTTTTATTTTGGTTATTATAACATTTTAATTGGAATCAAAACGCAGAGCAGATCTTGCTGGGTAATTACAAGATTTTCATTGATAATATTTTGCTTTTCGTGATCGTTAATATTATTAATAATATTATTATATAATTATAATCACAGGATGTCAAGACAATACACTGTTAAAAAAGAAACAATTCAAATATGCAATGTTTGATTATTGGAAATTTACAGATGTTGAAGCACGCGCGCTACCTTGAACACATACAGTCATTCTCTCATGTATTCCTCGTGTACATAAGGCTAATCTGACCGAGTCACGCTCGATGATATGATATGCTACAGAATTCCAGGGGAGGGTTGTTTGGCCCTGGAGTTTACCAGACTGCACCAATCGTCAATGACACTTTCACTAATCTTCCAGACCAGAGATGGCTGCTGCCATGTTAGACAAAAAGTTGCCCGCAACGATCCTGCCTCTAGGGTAAGGATGGCTCTGTGACCAAGTCGCAACTCTGCTGATGAATTGTAGTGCCATGTAAATATCCAGATCCATCAAAGCAATGAGAACCTGCAATTCGTTTCAAGCACAGGGGTCACAATTCAGAGCAGGGTTGGTGACCCTGAAATTGCATTTGGACTCTGATGTTAAGAGGAAAGTTTCATAAATTCTCTGTTTCTCTGATACTAACTAACCAATTTATAATTTTGGGTAGGGTTTTTGCCCAATCAGTCTTCTGTTGTATAGATTAAAATTATTGCATGATTATATACATCCTTGTCAGCAATATGGCCAACAAGAAAAAGTTATAAAAATGGTTCGGATTTTGTTTGGTATGTTATAAATTAATCATTTTCATATTTCTGTTTCTCTTTAATTTTATCTGACCAACTGAACTTGTTATTTAAATTAAACTTTATTTTAGTGAGAGGTGATAACACAAAGCAAACATCATAAATGTCAACTTTCATCAGCAATCAATGCCCATATGGAAACAGCCAAGCCTGGTCTGGGAAAGAAGATAGGGAAAGTTTTGTCCAAAGCCTTCCAACATGTTCAACCCTCCTTCACCTGTGGAAAACATTCTATGGTGCTGAATTGTGCTTAATTGCATTGCGATTGCATGTTTGTGATAGGAAATTTTAATTAAATCTGACACCTGTAATCAACATCAGATTTATTATTCATAAGGAACCATGATTGATAATCAGGAAAAATAATTTATTATTGTGAATCCCAGAGATCTGGGTATACATGCATTATTAAAAGTTTCATTTTTGCATGGCCTTGGTATCATTACTACCTGGGTGATGCAATTGTTTGTTATGTCAATGATGATATCAAATGTATTGAATAATAATCATGACCATCATGAATATTTGATGGATGGAGGCATTCACATACAAGGAAATGATTAAATAGCTAAGTCGTGTTTGTTTTATTAAAGATGTATGATTAATTATATTCAAAATACACAATAAAAAAATTGCAAGACTGCACCACTGTGTCAATCAAGCTATCAAGCTGTTATGGTTTCTAATTTAGGGTCCCATCTTTCTTTGCTTATATATAATCTATTGGTTCTCTTTTACTGGTCAAATGATGCCAAATTGGGTAATGAGGTATCAGAACCTGATTATTCTTTAAAAAAATAATCAAGGTATTAGCATACTGATAAGTTAATAATTTTCTTAGTATTTTATCTAAAAGTCTACTAGTAAATGTTGAAGGTGCCAATATTTATCAGATATCCTTTTAAAATTAATCCTATTTTTTAGTTAATCATTGGCTCAATTTAATAAACTAATAGCTCTTTTATATTGTAATTAAGTTATTGGTTAAACATTTCTAAAGCTCTTTGTGAGTAGTAGTTAGGGTTTCTATTCGAATAAAGCAAATAAAAGCAAATGTAAGGAGCAATTTTCTCACCTTGTTCTTTCTTCAAAATACTTCTAATGGTGCTATAATTCTTGGGTTCCATAGTAGATCTGATGTAAATGAGTTTCATATTAACTATTTTTATATAGGGATAATTCTATATATCACTTAACAAATTAGACATTATAAAACTAATTGTGATAATAACTAAATTTTGATCCCTGAAATCATTGGTAATACCAATGTTCACTTTGTCTGGTTTTGTTGCAGTATGCCCCAATTGAATTTAGAATAGAAAAAAGTCACGTGACTGCGCACAAAAACTTGTTTAACCTGAGATGTATTTTTTTAACGCGTATATTTTGCTTTCTATGTTTTCAGTATGTGTGTGAAAAATGATCAAATGATCAAGTTGCTTTTGAAGGGTTACATAGGAGCTATATTTCAAGCTTAAGTGATCAACATAAGTACAGTTTTACAAACAATTTAAGAAATGTACGTTATAAAGAGAATTCACTATAAACAGTAGTAGTAATAGTTTATATAGGATATATAAATTGGGCAGTTAGTTATAATGGACTATATATTTATTTAAGACATTCTAAACTCGGAATTGTAGATTTTTGTTTTATAATATGTTTATTTAAAATTT